GAGGGTGGCGCCTGGTCTCTTTTTGAGTCCAGGCGGTGTTAGATGGAGGCCCGGTCCCCGTTGTTTTGAGCTCTGGGCTCAACTCAGCGGTGACCGGNCGCAGTGTGGAGGGAGGACCTCTCTTTTTTCTCGCGTTTCGAGACAATAGGGAGGTCAATATTACTATCATGGGGTCAAGTCCGCTTCGGCGTTTGACTTGAGGCCGAGAGGGGTTTCCCCCTCATTGCACTCGGCCTGCAGATGGCGGGGGAGGAGCTGTTTCCCCCCTCCCCCCAATCGCGGAGCTTTGCTCCTCCATTTAAAGGTATAGGGGGGCGAAAGTCCCCATGCCTATTGGGCTGCCTCTGGGTTGTTCTAAATTGAGGTACCGGGGCAGCCCTAAAAAGGCGGAAAGTGGACACCGCAGGGGTTTTAGTGGGTATTCCCCATCGGGGTGCGCTTTGTTGGGATGAGTCCTACACTACCCTGGTTCACATCTAGTCTGGGTCAGAGTGTGCGTAAATGCATTTCTTCTGCGTAAATAAAAAAGAAAAAGGATTAAATAGATTATGCTCGGTTTGGGGGTCGGGGGGACAGCCCCGGCCTTCCAAGGGCAGAGCTGACTGCCACTGAGCGCGTCCCCGGATTGCGGATAGGGGAACGGCCTCAAGTACTGAGGTTAGCTGCGAATAACCCCTTCGGGAGGAGAAAGCAGTCGCGGACAAACAGCGGTGGATACTGAGGATGGGGTGGTCGCTTCTGTGGGAAGGGAGCGGCCTATAAAGTGCTCCATTAAACCTGATGAAGTATCCACGTCAAAGGCGAGTGAGTGCCGCCTTAAAAGCACTCCAACCTCCGGGCAGATCGGGCTCGTTAGGTTTTGTTTACCAACCGATCTAGGTGAAGGAAAACACCGATGTAAAACCAACTAAGTAGAAAATATGATGGACAGCAAGACAAAGAAGGACTTACCGCCCCAGAGTGATCGGACATTCAAAGGCCGGCACGGTGGGAGTACTGTCCCTGCTCCCGCCGCGTCGTTATCCAACAAAGGGCAGAAGGAGGGGTTGCCGGCGGGCCCCTCTGTACAATCTGCTACCGCCGTAGCTGAGCAAAAAAAAAGCGCAAAGCTGACAAGAACCTGGAGTCGGCTTTTCAAGAAGGTTTGGGAGTGGCCGATTGCTCCCTCGTTACGATGGGCATCGGCGCCCTCTTTGATTACGTGGCTGACTCCCTGGACGAGCTTTGGGAGCGACTTTGTCGTCGCTCCAAAATGTCCAGGGAGGAAAAAGCGGGCAGGCCGAGAGAGCTCCGGGAAAAGATCCTTGCGGGTTTGATAGAGCTCCAATCTCGGTTCAGCTTCCGAGAGGCTTTCGACAAGGTCGAAAATAGTGTCGCCAACGCGGCCGAACGTATAGAGAAGAAGGTTGCTCGAGGGCAAGTTGCCTCCGAGCAAAATATTATGGAGGCAATTGTTCAGGTATGATATTGAAGAACATAATTGCCGTAACCTCGCTGACCTGAAAGAAATCAAGAAGGATGTGGTGGTGGCGCGTGCGGCGATCGAAGGGGTCCATAATAAGACTTTCCGGTCGCTTCACGCACTTTATGAGAGTATGGAAACGTCGGTGCGTGCCATCGCCGACGTCTCCATGCCGAGGCCGGAAGAAGCTCCATGCTCCACTCCAGTCAGGAGAAAGAGTCAGATGCCCCCCTCCTGGCTGGAGGAGATTGAGAGGGTGGTGCGGTGCACCGTCTCGGGGGAGCTTCAAAAACTTTTGGAGCGGGGGCTCACGAGACGTCCCCCCCTGTTAGTAGGAAATCTCCGATTCTTTCGCCTGTTCCTGTTAGGGAACAAACGGAGGAAAAGGAGCCGACGAAGAAGAGAAAGAAGAAGAAGAAGAAGAAGAAGGAGAAGAAGCAGGTGGTAAAGGCAACTAAGGCGCCTACAAAAGGTGGGGGGACGGCCGTTGGTGCCGGTCGAGGAAAGTCTTCCCATTCTTTGACCCCACCCTTGTCAAGCCAGCGGCCGCTTCGCGGAGTACTCCCGCGTACTGAGGCGGTTACCTTGCGTCTCGAAGGGGAGGGCAGGTCGTATGCCCAAGTCCTTCAAAACGCGAGGAATAAGGTAGACCCTAGGTCGGCGGACGTCTCCAGGGTCCGTCGGACCTTGGAGGGGCACTTGTTGTTGGAGGTGGGAAGGGAGGACCGCAAATCCAAGGCGGATCTTCTTGCCACCAAGTTGAAAGAGGTTCTCCCCAAAGAAGTCAGTGTGGCTCGTCCATCCCAAAACGTGGAGATATTAGTTTCGAGATTGGACGAGTTCACCACAGAGGACGATCTCCGCATGGAGTTTGTGGAAGAGTTTGGTGGCGGGAGTGGCGTTAGGGTAGTATCCCTGCGTCGCTTCCAGCCCGTAGGTGGAGTCGGCTTGGTTCGCTGCCCAGGTGAGGCGGCGGCCAAGGCGATTAAATCAGGCAGATTGCCGGTGGGCTGGGTGATGGCGAGGGTGCGAGCACTCCGCCACCGCTCCCTGCAGTGGTACAGGTGTTTCTAGCCTGGGCACTGCAGGGCTGTGTGCCCCAGCCAGGTCGACCGCAGTGATCTTTGTTATCGCTGTGGTCGGCCGGGGCACCAAGCGGCCGGCTGTATAGAGGATGAGAGGTGTCTCCTTTGTAAGGAGTCGGGCCGGGAGTCTTCCCACCGAATGGGCGGGGCCCGGTGCTCGGCCAGCGGCCGGGGTGCTCCCGTGCCCATTATTAACCCTTTTTAACAAGGGTAGAGAGAACGCGGATCTCCCCGGCTCCGATATAGGATCCGGGGTGCTGCTCCTCTGTATGTCTGGTGCGCAAACACCAGATATAAGAAAGGGTGGCGCCTGGTCTCTTTTTGAGTCCAGGCGGTGTTAGATGGAGGCCCGGTCCCCGTTGTTTTGAGCTCTGGGCTCAACTCAGCGGTGACCGGGCGCAGTGTGGAGGGAGGACCTCTCTTTTTTCTTGCGTTTCGAGACAATAGGGAGGTCAATATTACTATCATGGGGTCAAGTCCGCTTCGGCGTTTGACTTGAGGCCGAGAGGGGTTTCCCTCTTATTGCACTTGGCCCGCAGACGGCGGGGGAAGATCTGTGTCCCCCTTTCCCCGATCGTGGAAGAGAAAAGCTCCTTCATTTAAGGATTGGGGGGCAAAAGTCTCCATGCCTATTGGGCTGCCTCTGGGTTGTTCGAAACTGAGGTACCGGGGCAGCCCTAAAAAGGCGGAAGGTGGACACCGCAGAGAGTTCAGTGGGTATTCCCCACCGGGGTGCGCTTTGGTGGGGTGAGTCCCACACTACTCTGGCCTACTTCAGTCTGGGTCAGGGTGTTCGTAAACGCATTTCCCCTGCGTAAATAAATAAAAAAAAAAAAATAAAAAAAAAAAAATTAAATAAGTTTGTTCCGGGTTACGCAGCAGATGGCCTATTGGCCCGCTGATTGATACGGACGGCTCAGAGGAAGAAAGCGGCGGAGGCAATCTTCAACTTGTTTTCAGGGATCAGAAACCGGGTCCTTCGCGCAGTGGCGCGGAGTCACGGGAGGATCCCGCCGCTAAACAACTGCCGCAGGACAACTCCGACATGGAAGTCGAAGTCGCCTCTGTGGGCAGAGGAGTGGCTCGTCAGGCAATTAAACCCCAAGATTCCCTCCTCTTCCTGTGAAGAGGGATACATCCCAGGGAGATAAGAGAAAGCGAGGGAGAGGGTGTCCCCCAACTACCGGGAAATATGTAGGCCTCGCGGAGGCCAAGAGGAAGCTAATCGAGGAGGAGGAGAAGGACCTGGAGCTGCGCGCAGAGCGCGAGCTCGCGGAGGACTTTGAGTCCATTCGGCCGACCACCCGGTCTTCGGGCCCCGCGTCCCTTCCTTTTTCTCAGCCCGAACCGGCTTCACTCCAGGGTTCGCTGCCGACCCCGGATATTATCATGCGGGTCATGCCGACGTCCCAGATTGTCCAACAATCGGGCAAACTAGCGGCGTCGGTGATGGCCGTGACCTCCAAGAGGCTTAAGGGTACTTACATTAAATACCTCAAGGAGGCCGCGGTCAACATGGAGGAGGCCATCCGCGTCCTCTTCAGCCGTATGGACACTGAGGGTGAGATCTAGCGGCTGGAGGGGCTGAACCGTCGTTTGGACGGCGAGGTGGCCAAGCTACGAGGCACGGTCTCCTCCCTGAGGATCGATAGAGACGCTGTCCAGAAGAAACTGGACAGCGTCTCTAGGGAAAACCTCTTTTTGAAGCGTGAGGTGGACGCGCTTCACGACGAGTTGAAGGATCTGCGGCGGGAGCTAACAGCGATAGGTTTTGCTAAGCTCAAGGCTTTCGCCGCACCTCCCGAGGAAGACGCTCCACCTCCACTTCCGCAGCGGGAAGCCAGACCGCGACGACCTAAGGACCGGTCGCGGCCCTCCCGTGGTTCGAGTCCGGTGCGGGAAATGGACATCTCTCCCCTTCCGAGCACGGCGAGAGAGAGAAATAAGGAGGCGACAGCACCCCCGCCGGATACTGGCACTTAGCGGGACGAAGAGCACCTTGCGGTGAAGCCGGTAGATCTCAAGGATATTGAGTCTCTGCTCAAGGCCCACCGCAGGGAAACGGACAGGCAGAAAAGCTGTCTGTCTTTTACGAACAGGTCGTCCATCGCCTGTCCGTTCGTCCTCCTCTGCGGGGTCAACCGCAGAGAAGGACAGAGGTAAATGCCACGGCAGAGGCGGGATGCAGCGGCCTGGCTGCAACCAGTGCAGCAAACTCGCCTGCACTTCCGCCCTCTGCCCCAGCAACTTCCGCAGAGCCCAGTACGGGTCTGCGGAAGAAAAAGAAAAAGAAGAGGAAGAGCAAGAAGAAAGGCGGCGGCGGATCCGGGCCGGGAGATAAGGAGGCGGCCAAGGCCGCATCCTAGGCCCCCAAACCCGCGCTGCCCGCTCCCCTGCTATCATCCTCCCAACCTTCCGCTCCCTCCATCTCAAAGGACACCTGGTCTCAGGTGATGGGGCGGAAGAAAGTGAAGCAAAAGCCGGCCCCCCAAACCCCCGCCTCGGCCAAGTCCGGTGGCACCAAAGGAGGAAAAGGACCGACCAAACCGGGAGCGGGCACGGCCAAGGCCACCCCTCCCAAGCTGAAGCTGGGGAGACCACCCCGCTCCGCGGCGGTGGTGCTCTCAGCCCTGGAGGGGGCAGCGGAAGGTTTCTTGGCGGAGGTCTTGAAATACGTCCGAGAGAGGGTGTGTCTCGAGCCCTTCGGTATTCAAGGCCTCCGCCCAAGACGAGCACTCACCAGGGCCATAATCCTAGAGGTCCCTGGTGATAATAGTGACACCAAGGCGGAGGCGTTGTACAACGCGATGCTCCCCTTGGTGTCCGAGAAGGGGGGACGACTCGCGAGACCAACGAAGACCGTTGAATTACGTGTTCGAGATCTTGACGAGTCGATCTCTCCCGAGGAGATCAAAGAAGCTGTGGGGTCCGCCGGGGGCTGCCGGTCGACCGAGGTGAAGGTCGGCCGATCTCGTGCCTCCCCCGGTGGGCTGTCCACAGCATGGGTGCAGTGCCCACTGACCGCGGCTCGAAAGGTTGTCGAGGCCGGGACGCTCAGGGTCGGCTGGGTACGTGCACCCATAGAAGTACTGGAGAGGCGGCCCTGCAGTGCCACAGATGTCTCCGGCGCGGGCACGTGATGGCTGCGTGCACTTTTACCGCGCCGGGAGAAGACAGAAGGGGCCGCTGCTTCAATTGTGGCGACCGGGGACGGGTGGTACTCTATTGACCACAGTACGATTCGACACCGCTCGATTCGACACAGATTTATTCGACACC